TCCTGTTTGTTAACTGCTGCTGTCCCTTTATAGCAAACCATTCTAAACGTCATGCCCACATCAGCCCACATTATTAGAGGATATGCTTTCCTTCCGTTTATATCAAAAGGACTCTGCTGCTGCTCTACCTCTGCCTTAAGAAACACAAACCGGTCCCAATAATAGCTCTATTCTATTGCTACAGGTTGTTTTGAAGGTAGAAGTGATCTTTGAAATGGTTGTGATTTCAATTTACAAACCTTGCTTCCAGAGATTTCTTACATTTGAACTCCAGAGTGGGCCGATAAGAGGGAGTGCGGACAGAACAGCCTCGCATATTTAAAGACAATACAAAATAGAGTTGGAAAAAGGCAGAGTGAAGAGTGAAAGAAGATGAGGGAGGGCGCCGCAGCTGGTGGCAGCCAGAGCACCATCTGTTCAACACTCTATTAGTTCACAGCGCACTCAGACGTACAGCTTTCATTCCAGCGCTTCTGATGGGCCTTCTGCACCGTCTCTACAACACTCTGATCTTGGGAAGTGTCCACGTTATCCGCCTAATTGAGGCTCGTAATTGTTCAGATCAAGTTTGTGGCATACTTCAGGAATAGCGGCATGGTGGCTGAGTAGATAGCACTCTCGCTTCTCCGCAAGAAGGTCCTGGGTTGTGCATGGGTTCGGGTTCTCCATATGTGTCTGCTCTGGTTTCCCCTACCACTAAAAACATTAGGTAAATCCTCCAGCTGTAGAAGTCCTGACCAAGCAGAGTTTCAACATCTGGAGATGGGTCCCTTGGAGCTGTACTACGGTAACCACTGCTACAGATAGACGCCCTGGTGGAATCAGGATTGGTCAAATGCGGAGGATGAATTGCCCTACGGGGTAAATAAATAAATTGCGCCTTTACCTTTATAGCGTTACTGTTTGGAGTTGGCATCACCGCCCAGACAAACAGCAGGAAGTGGAAAATATATAGAACTCAAAATACAAACACCCTCGGTTCAACTTATCTACTTGTAACATCTTTCTGGAAGTAACAGCAAACTTCTTTCTTAAGGCTTCTCTACTCACAAGTGGTGGATAAAACCATTTTCACAACCATTTTCACAATCCACATTTGGTAACTTGAATCTATTGTGAGCAATTGGGGAATGTGAACTAAAGCTGGAGTACCCTACTTTAAATAATACATGTTTTTTTTCCGCATCAGAATCACAATATGCTGTCTTCATCTAATTAGGAAAAAAGTTATCTTTCACATAGTTGTAAGAAAGAGCCGAGTGAGAGAGCTGGAGGGTGAGTGAGGGTGGTCCTCTCTTTTTCACTTCTGTCTGAGCTAAAGATGTGACGAGGGCCAAACATGCATGAATGTAAAAACTAGTGATAGAACAAAACGTTTGAGGGCTGGGAACTATTAGATGGATTTAATTACAACGTTTTTTTATGAAAGTTAGATATGCTAATACTGAAAACAATAGAACTTACACAAGTGTTATGTTTTATTCATCTATTTCCTCCTGAACTGGTCCAGGTAAACATGATTCGCTAATATTATCATAATGGAAGTCTATTTTGTATTGTGGCTTTCAGAGGGTGCCATAGTGCACTACTATTGTACATCATACAAACATTTGTCACCAAATATTACTAATTAAAAATGTGCTTGGCCATTTTAAATGTCCCCCATAAACTGAGTAACATGTTGGCTCTCAGGAGGTCCTAGGTTAAAATTTCCAATCGAAAAAGGACCTTCCTGAGTGGGGATTCCAATTTCCGATAGAATGCGGTAAAATATTTGTTTTAGTGATGGGGGAAACCTATCACTATAACAAACGTTTACCGCACAATCGGTAAGATCCTCCAGCTGTACTTCTCCTCCTGACAGAGGCACTAGTGGCTTTGGAAGGATGCCGAGGACAAATGCAGAGGACACATTTCCCCACGGGGATAATAAAGTCTAACTTAACTTAACACAGACAGACCCAAAGGGCTTCGTCCACACACCGAAGCTATTGTAGCGTGCCCTGCAGAAACTTCCAACGGCCATACATGTCCAATACAATGCAGCTGAAATGATTAATGGTGAATACATTATCATTATTAGGGGCCCTGTACTTCAAAGACACAAACACTGCCTTCTGTGTGGCGGACCAGGAAGTAAGAAGAAAAATGAGCTGTACTTGATAGAAGATTATGCACTTGACCTTGTATTCATATGTTCCAGCTTTCTGTATTTTCAATTCTCTTTTATATATACATAGTCTTTTGTTTTAAATTATTTCAAACTGAAATGTTATTTATAGAAATAAACATAATGTAATCAAAGATCTGTTTGCTAAAATAATCAATAGCTGCAGCCACATATAAAAGTAAAACAGACAAGTCCGCACAAAGTTCAACTCAATTCAATACATTTTTGTACAGGCCAAATTCACAAGTGAAAATCGGTGTTCCAAAATGCCTGTGCAAGATTGCTGTATCTCCAGCAAAACATGTTGGGGAAATTACTGAGCAACAGAGAAGAATAGGGCTTTGGATTCCGGATAAAACATTCAAAAACAACAATGAGTAGCTCCAAACTTTATTAGCTCACAACATCTCTCCAGTTGGATTTACCTGCTGGACTATTAAGTGCACCAGTATATAGTGCATCAGCTGATTTATTTAACAGAAAGTAAATTTTGTCCACGTTTAGACCACACTTGAAAATCAGCCGAATGTTTTTCGCAGATAGACGACTTTTGTAACTGGACACAAACATGATTTAATGACGAGGTGTTTTAACCACAGACTGTATATATTAACGGACAGAGTCACGCCTATCTCCGCCGTTCTAACTAATAGGCCAAAAATTATGCTCTACTGGAGCAATCCAAAATGGCCGCGAGTGGTCCCGCCCACAAGAAAATTGTGAAAAAACGCATCTGCGCATGCGTCAGCCGGCGAGAGCCCCGTTCATTTGAACGAGAGACTTCAAAAATTCACAGCAAGTAAACTAGAGTGGTCCAAAAAAACTAGAGTGGTCCAACTTTTGGACCATCCTGTAAAGACGTTTTTAAGGGGTGTGTCAGTGCTATATGTTAGCATTGGCTAATTCTTATTCCGGGTCCACCCCATGGATCTATTATATTAACTGGATAGGGTATTACTAGCTTGTAGCTGAATAACTCATGTGCTCAGGGGATTCTCGTGGTACTGCAGACTGAACCAGACTAAATTCACGCGGGCTACCCAGAAATTTTCCCCATAGAACTCAATGCATATTAAAACAGCTCAACCTCAGCTGACAGAGAACCTACAGATTTCATAAAGGTCGGATTTTGTGGGGATTTTAGTGTCCCTTGTCATCCTGAACTTTTTTTCTTCTTAAATCCTTCGGTTTTGTTTAAATCCACACTTTAGTGCCACAAACTCTGCTCGTCTGGCTCTCGCTCTAACTCCCGCTCTGATGAACTGCTCTGATTGGTCAGAGCGCAGCCGAGCCCCTCTGTGCACGTGCGTGAGACCCGGTGTAAGACCCACACACGCGTGTTTGGCGCAACGCATTATGGGAGATCATCCACTGCGCAGAACCGGGAGGACCAGACAATGCCCAAATACGCATTTGATCAACGCCCGGTAAAACACAACAATGAACTCTGAGGAGACGTCAGGACTCATTCACCATCTATTTTGACAATAAACATCCTAGCATCCTATAGCTACTAAACCTGAATAGCGTCAAAATAGCATCTGTAAACTCTGCTCAGACAACAATCATATAATCACAAAAGAAACAAGTTCATTTTCCCTTGTGTGGGCTATTCTCATAAACAAAAAACCCCGCTGAGTGAGCAGTGCCCAAGTTCCTTATTGTGTTCCAGGAGATACTCTAATGATTGATTGGTCGCATCAAGATAGGCTTCATGGTGTAAAGAACTTCAAAATAGCCATGGCTTATAGTCTGGAAATTATGGGAATTTACTAGATTAAAGCTGCACTAACTGACTTTGGGATTTTGAAACCGCGGACTCGCTGGCCTCGCTCTTTCTGCTCCCCTCCCCGCACCCACGAAGCTATCGCCCCACACACACACCCACTGTTGGGACGAAGTAAGCGCCTCCCAATATGGATAATACATGGATATGGATTTGCACGTGGATGGCGTGACCATAGAACAATAGAACCGGGAAGCGCGGAGGAACGAGACTTTCTTTTGGATGGCTGTCTCGCTGTGTAAGCAGTACCCGGTGACGAAGACGAGGAAGTTTCAGGTTAGCTCCTAGGCTTGTTGTGCTAACTCAGCTGTCTGTGCTAACGGACCTGTAGATTTCTCACGAAAGTGGGGGCTAGTGGTCCGCTGTGATTGGACACAATCTGCGACCCGAAACACATTCTCTTCCTTGTTTCATCCAGACTCGATCTAAAATATAATGTCACGCCAGCACAAACCTGCGCTACTTTTTCTTCAAAAGGACGAATATCCCAATGCACTACATGGACATGGATAGCACTTTTGTAATGAATACAAAAATAAAGTCAGTTAGTGCAGCTTTAATTTAATACAGGGGTGTCAAATCAGGCCTCAACCTCAAAGTGCCGCTGTGGCTAAAAGTTTTTGTTCCAACCTGAGCCAGAAAGCACCAGACTCCATCCAATTTCTCAGGTGCGTCCAGTTTGAACCTGCAGATTTAAGTACTTGAATTGTACTTTTACCAGAGTTGATTTGTATACTTTATCTTTACTTTTACTTAAGTACTTTTATCGCCTCTGCATTTGAGCTAAACAAAGCTAAACTGATGCCACATGAGAAAACTACAAATATGTATTCACATTTCTCCATTTTATTCTGCAGTGATCATAAGATTAGATTAGTCTCTCTTATAGTATTAGTATTACTCCAGCAATTTCCTCATCCAGTATTCACCTGACGATATGAGGAAATGGGTGGAGTCCAGCCCTTTCTGGAACCGGTTTGACTCCTCTGATCTAATACATAACACAGAGAGTAGTAAACCTGCTTCCAGTTGGCTGTCACTCACCGTACATCTTGCCCTCGTCGGACAGGATGATCTTCCGCCGGCCACAGGGGGGATAGATGGCCAGCGCCTCTTGAAAGCTCTGCTCGATGTCCGGACTCCACACCCCCTCCGGATCGCCGTCCATGGTCTTGTCCCCTCCGGAGTCGCTGAGCCGGTCCATGTCCTCCCCTGGACTCTCACTGCCGCTCCAGCTGCTGCGCTCCATGATGGTGCTCACAGTAAAGGCTACAGTGGCTTCAGCTCAGGCCCAAAGGGAAACGCAGAGGGACATTCAGAAAAGACAGCGGGCTTCTCCAGGAGACGGGCTCAGAAGGACACTTTCTGCACGGCACGAGCCAAATCTGAAAGCAAGTGGGGAGAAAAATGGTTTAGTTTTAGCTTGAATAGAAATGTATTACTATATTATATTATATTACTGTATTATAGCATGCAACTAGTCTAGGGCAGGATTTTGTGGAGCTACCGAGCCTGATAAGACCATTTATTTTCACTATCATTGCAACGTTAACTATTGTATAATGTTTTTAGTGAAAACAATGTACTATTACGGAAGCTTGTTAGGTTCACTTGTGAGTGTGTTTTTTTCCGCTGGCATCATGTTATTTCAAGATAATTTCATGTTATTTCAAGATAATTTCATTTCAATTTGGAGAGACGTGAAACAAGAAGCTTTTGAGTATTTATTGGGAGGAGGTTTGGCGCCCTAGGCCCCGGTGCGGCCTTCAGATCGGAGGGGCTCTGCGATGGAGCATGCCAATCCCCCGGGACCTAGGCACTGGTGGCGGCATTTGGCAGCGGGAAGCAGATTGAAGGCAGAATGAAGCAGGGTGAAGAGGAGGAGGAGGGGAGGCGGTGGCTGCAGCTTCAAGAGGCCGAGAGTGGGAGTTCCTCCGCTTTTAAGCAGCTTGCCTGGCTGGACCGGTGATTGGAAGGGGGCGTTTGCTGTGCGATAGGCTGGGGATGAGAACCGGCCTGGAGGGGTTACCTTTGGCTGACGTCTACCAAATTGAACTTACGCTGGCTGCATTTCAATTTGGAGAGACGTGAAACAAGAAGCTTTTGAGTATTTATTGGGAGGAGGTTTGGCGCCCTAGGCCCCGGTGCGGCCTTCAGATCGGAGGGGCTCTGCGATGGAGCATGCCAATCCCCAAAAAGGTTGTGAGTTGATGGAGTTTTGCAGCCTGGTTTGAAGGGGACAGACGTCGAGACTACTCTATGCTGTGACCGCTATCGCTATATACTGTGACCGCTATCGCTATATACTGTGACCGCTATCGCTATATACTGTGACCGCTATCGCTATATACTGTGACCGCTATCGCTATATGCTGACGAGTCGCGACCATCGCGCGCTAACCATTTTTTGCTATATACTGTGACCGCTAACCATTTTTTGCTATATACTGTGACCGCTAACCATTTTTTGCTATATACTGTGACCGCTAACCATTTTTTTGCTATATACTGTGACCGCTATCGCTATATACTGTGACCGCTAACCATTTTTTGCTATATACTGTGACCGCTATCACTATATGCTGTGACCGCTATCTATTGTGACCAAACTTGCGGATCCTCATCCGAGCAGTCTCTGCCGAGCAGTCTCTGCCGAACAGTCTCTGCCGAACAGTCTCTGCCGAACAGTCTCTGCCGAACAGTCTCTGCCGAACAGTCTCTGCCGAACAGTCTCTGCCGAACAGTCTCTGCCGAACAGTCTCTGCCGAACAGTCTCTGCCGAACAGTCTCTGCCGAACAGTCTCTGCGGGCGACCATTGCTTGCGGATACTCAGCTGCTGCGACCATTGCTTGCGGATACTCAGCTGCTGCGACCATGCTTGCGGATACTCAGCTGCTGCGACCATGCTTGCGGATACTCAGCTGCTGCGACCATGCTTGCGGATACTAAGCTGCTGCCGCCACCAGGAAGTTTGCAAGTGTTTTATGGAGATGCAAAGAGGCGCTGGGCTGCCAGGATGGTCGAAGTGTCAGGCCTGATGTATGAGGAGAGGGCCGATGATGACCAGCGGCCCAGCTGCTGGAGGGCGGAATAGGGGAGCCCAAGGGACGCGGCGCGCGTGGCGGCGCCTATCCGAAGGAGTGGGCTGTGTAGAGATGGGGAGACAGGTTACAAGCAGCAGTACGGACTTGAGTTGGGCTCTGAAACAGACGGATGACATTGGAAGGTTATCGGGAGCGCGGAGGAGATGCTTTGAGGGAAGGCGTCGGGCCAGGGCCCGGCGAACCACTGGACCTGGAAGAGACCCCCAAAACCCACGGACGGGGCTGCGTCCGTGAAGAACCGTAGGGCATCTGAGGACGGGATGACGTCACTGTAAAAAAAAAGATACACCGTCCCAGCGGCTCAGCAGACGGGACCCGAACGCCAGGTCGGAGCGGCACCCCGCGTCCGGGCAGACAGCGTCGTTGAGGGAGGAGACGGAGCCAGATATAAGCAGTTCCATATACAAGCAGTTCCATCTATAAGCAGTTCCATATACAAGCAGTTCCATATACAAGCAGTTCCATATACAAGCAGTTCCATCTATAAGCAGTTCCATATACAAGCAGTTCCATATACAAGCAGTTCCATATACAAGCAGTTCCATATACAAGCAGTTCCATATACAAGCAGTTCCATATACAAGCAGTTCCATATACGAGCAGTTCCATATATAAGCAGTTCCATATATAAGCAGTTCCATATATAAGCAGTTCCATATATAAGCAGTTCCATATACGAGCAGTTCCATATATAAGCAGTTCCATATATAAGCAGTTCCATATATAAGCAGTTCCATATATAAGCAGTTCCATATATAAGCAGTTCCATATATAAGCAGTTCCATATATAAGCAGTTCCATATATATACGGTTCCAGATATAAGCAGTACCAATATATGCAGTTCCATATATTGCATGAGCAGTTCCAATATGAGCAGTTCCAATATGAGCAGTTCCAATATGAGCAGTTCCAATATGAGCAGTTCCAATATGAGCAGTTCCAATATGAGCAGTTCCAATATGAGCAGTTCCAATATGAGCAGTTCCATATATTAGCAGTTCCATATATTAGCAGTTCCATATATTAGCAGTTCCATATATTAGCAGTTCCATATATTAGCAGTTCCATATATTAGCAGTTCCATATATTAGCAGTTCCATATATTAGCAGTTCCATATATTGGCAGTTCCATATATTAGCAGATCCATGTATAAGCAGTTTTGTATATAAGCAGATCCATATATAAGCAGGTCCAGATATAAGCAGAACCAATATATGCAGTTCCATGCACTGTATAAGCGGTTCCAGGTATAAGCAGTACCATATAATCAGTTCCAGGTATGAGCAGTCCCAATATGAGCAGTTCCATAAAAGCAGTTCCATAATACATAAGCAGTTCCGTAATACATAAGCAGTTCCGTAATACATAAGCAGTTCCATAATACGTAAGCAGTTCCACAATACGTAAGCAGTTCCATAATACGTAAGCAGTTCCAGATATAAGCAGTTCCGTGAGGGATTAAACTGAGAGCTCGCAGTCCAATTTGAGGGATTAAACGGAGCTTGCAGTCAGAGTGAAGGATTTAAACGGAGCTTGGTTAAAGAGAGCCTGCAGACCAATGCGAGGGCTTTAAACTGATGCTTGCCCACCAATGCACGGGGCCAACTGAGCCTGCATTACAAGCGCGGGGCCAACTGAGCCTGCAGGACAATGCGAGGGGAATAAACCGTCCGCAGATCTCATACTTACCCGCAACGCCAGAAGATAAGGGACAACACGACGGGACCACACCGTATGGCACGAGGAGGCAGGGATGCGCACGGCTCCCACCGCACCGGGCCAGACCGGCCGTATGCAGCAGCAGGCCGCGACGAGACGAGCAGCGGCGAACCCGCAGAAAGAGCCCGCAAAGGAGGAGAGCGGCAAAGACCCACGGACCACAGCACGAGACCCGCAGCAGGTGCTGCGACGTGGAGGAGGAGCAGACGACACGCAGCAGGACAGAGGACAGCAGGGACACGCACGAAGTAAGTGAGAGTAGAACAAAGCGATTCCTCCAGAACGACTCTTTGCAAGGCTTCGCTCTTTGCTGCAGCTTCAAGAGGCCGAGAGTGGGAGTTCCTCCGCTTTTAAGCAGCTTGCCTGGCTGGACCGGTGATTGGAAGGGGGCGTTTGCTGTGCGATAGGCTGGGGATGAGAACCGGCCTGGAGGGGTTACCTTTGGCTGACGTCTACCAAATTGAACTTACGCTGGCTGCATGTTCGTACAAGATAAATATCATGTTATTTCATGATACCAATTTATCATGAAATAACAAGATAAATATGTTATTTCATGATATATATCTTCGTTGTGGATGCAGGAAGATCGAGTCAGTAATCAATGTGAAATTATGGACTGCTATCACTATAGTTACATGTTTAGCAGCTGGCGTGTTAGCTTGTCAGCCTAGCTTTGTATTTCCCATGATGGTCAAGTTAAAGGCTAAACTGTATTTGCTGGCCTTAAATTAAACCATTGTTATAGAAATAATGACCAAATAGGGTCATAATAATAATAGGAAATCATTTGATTGTTAATATATAGCGCTAAACTGCATGAACAGTAGTAGGCTGTAGCTGTGCAACATGAAATTAACTGTATGGTGCTTTTTATTTCATTGTTTATAAGCCTGAAATATTATAAATCATTTCGGATATATGTAATTATGGTGATAGCAGTTCATAAATTCACATTGATTACTGATCTTCCTGCCTCCGATACCTCTGACACCCCTCGCTGTCACAGAACGGTGCAAAGCGGGTCCTTTGCCTGAGCCATTCCACATTCCATATGGTCTGGCCATAGACTGTAAATATTAAAAGGTCTGACGTCTACAGCTTATTCTTCTGTATCTACAGTATCTTGATATTTCATGAAAAATTGGTATCATGAAATAACATGATAGTTGTATATCATGAAATAACATGATACCAGGGGAAAAAAACACACTCACAACAAGCTTCCGTATACTATAAAACGCTTACTGACGTTAAAACTTAAGTACCTTATAATCAAACCACAAAAACTGAATAATATAATCCATTTAACTAGTTCCTGGCTCTAAAACTGTTCACATTTACTGGTGGCCACAGAAAAGTGTAAAAAAGGACCACCCTCTCTCAGCCAATCAGCTCTCAGCGTCCAATAGTAACTCACTATGCTCTTACTTACGTAAAAGAAAACATGTTTTGATTTAGATTTTTTTCCCACAACATTGCACTTTTAGGAACTGGTGCATTGAGACTTGGGTGGCAGCTCTGATGGCCATCCTCCCAACCCAGAAATGGAATAATAA